CACATCTTAAAATTCCCAAGGTTGAGAAACACTGCTTCAGACCTCATGGGAATACAGCACTTCAGTATTCATTCAAGCAGCCCCTCTGATTTTTATGCTTCCAGCCTGAAAAATGGTTTGGCTGCTTTAAGGAGTAATTTCATTAAAATTAGTGTGATTTATTGTAACTCAATTGTGCTGACTCTGTAAATTGTCCATACTGACATCAAGTTTATTCCTGGCTCATTCAATGACACTAGATGAGGAGATACTTAACTTTAGCCTTTCCCATACAGTTTTTCTCATGTGAATCATATTGCACGTGTGCATATACACACCTACTCTTGTTACTTGCCACATGAAAAATAAATTGTTTATTATCTGTAATTGCTTTTTTACCTCAATTGGCGCTATTAGTAGCTTCACGGGATAGTAGGTTTCCATCAAGACAGAAAGCTGAGCATGTGTGTGTGTGTGTACAAGAATGTTGAAAACCCTTTTACCCCAGCCCTGTGGTCCTGACTGGGTTTGTGTTCTTTTCACAACCATTTTTAAGCTTTAATAAAAGGCCTCTGGGTCTGGTGAAACCAAATGTGCATCTCCCTTGCAAGTCTGGCTTTTACATGGTTAATAAGCATGTGCCTAAACAGAACAATTAGTAGAAATCCACATGATAGAATGTTTTCCTCTGCACAATATTATCCCTCACACCCAAATTTCCATGTCCAAGAAAAACATTTAGCATTTTTTCCTATAGGCATCCAAACATATGAGATGGAAGTACGAACTACAGTTTGTCTATTTTATTTTTAAGGTTTGAAATGGCACTATGCTGTTTTATTTAAGTCTTTTATTTCTGTTTTGGAAGGTCTAAATGTTATTCAAATTCCAAACTAAAACAATCTATAATCACTAACAAGAAGGGGGAAACCCTACATGGTGGGCTGGGGCAATTTTCACTACAGGTAGTCCTTGACTTATGACCATTTGAAGTTACAGCTGTGCTGAATGAAGAGACTTACTACCCATGCCCAAAGTTATGGCCATTGCAGCACCCCCATGGTCACATGATCAAAATTCAGGCACTTGGTAGCTCACCCACACTTACGACCCTAACTCCCCCCCCCTGCCTCTCCCCCCCCCCCCCCCCCCCCCCCC